GGTCGACCTTCTGGACATCTAACACAGCCTCCAGGAAAGCTTTGCGTCACTCTGGAACACAGCGATGTCAAAAACAAATACATAGTCAAATAGAAGGAGGTAGAGATAGCTGCAAATATTTTGAAACTTACATTAAGGAGACACCGGTGGCTCCTGGTCTTCCAGGCTCTCCAGGACTCCCCTGCTCTCCACGTTGTCCAGGAACACCAGGTGGGCCTGGTGGACCAGGAGGGCAACCTTGGGAATCCACAACGCAGTTGCAGACGGATCCATCATAAGATCTCTTTTGTCGGGCAAATAGCGAGATAAAGGACTCCGGAGCATCAGCCTTACCTCCTTTGGTGTGCAGAAAGATAATTCGATTCCAAGCATCGTCAGACATTGCCTAAATCAAACTAGGTACTATTTCTTTTGCACCATATAAACTCTTTCTTACCTTCATCTCATGCACACCAGAAAGGATTTCGTCTCTCAAGTTGTCAATGTCTTGCACAATGGAGCGAACGACGAATAAGGAGCATATCATGGCTCCGAGTGCTAACGACGATCCTATGGGTACCCCATACGAGGCCATCGTTAACCTATATCAACGGTAGAGAGCTATGGAAGATGTAGCAGAGCGAATATACAAAGAAGTCCACTGCCCTTTCCATCCTTCCTTTTAAACCCAGAACATTGCCCTACTTTTTTTCTATGGTTTGAACTGAATTTCTCATGGCTTTTTTGGTAGAATAACCAGTTCGGTCGATCTAAATTTCCTTCTCTCACCAACAATGAGAGACTGTGAAAAACAACTTTCGATGAGCTTTTAGACTAGCAGAGCCGAGATCAATGGAGTCGGAAAAAACCACCAAAACTACTGAAAGCGTCACTTCATTCACCACTGCGTATGTCATAATTTTTTTGAAATCTTATTCTACCAAGAGACTAAAGGCTAAAGATAAAGAAATGTTTGAAAAGAAGCAAATCAAAGGAGCTCATCAAAATTAGCTCAAATTCAGAAGTGACTTTAATGATTGGAACACAATGGACATGTGCTGGAAAATGATTGATGACATAGAACGTGAGTAAGGCAATTTGGGACATTATAAAAAGTCTGCGGGAAGATTCAAAAATATAAAGCGGAATGAATCCTTATCTTAATCACCTTAGTAGTAAAAACATGAGAGATGAAGATACCATTGTAAGAAGTACTGTGTTGCTTTGAACGCTTGAAAGAGATTGGAACTCACGGCATTTTTTTTTGCTTGACAGAAAGTAATGATTCCGCTCTTTTTGACAAAATTAGGGAATATTATGGTGATCCTTCTGAGGGCATCTCACTATTATCTCTGTGGTCTCGGGTAAAAAGCTGGCGGTTAGAGAATGTTCCACTATAGTTCAGCTTTACCCGCCCAAATCAACAAATACTCGGAAAGCGCGAAAAGATTTAAGGGGGTCACGCATGGAACGTTGAAGAGTAGTTGAACTGATGATTGAATGATAAAATTAGGAAATGCTCTTACTCAGGCATGCGAGCCAAGTTTATACTCAAAACTCTTTCAGAAATGCAAGGATTGTCAGTGGAGGTTTTAGAAAAGATGATAACACTAGCTGTAGAAATGAGGAAGACTGCAAATGAACTAAATGCTACAGTGAATCAGATCAAGGTTTTTAAGCAAATTAGAGGTGAACAATAACTAAATACCCAAAT